AGGAACTCGTAATGGATGTTGAAGGGCTATACCATCTCGCCTTTTCAGAGTGCCCGTCCGAAACAAGGACAATCCTGTCCCTGCAATACTTCATCGACAGCATCCGGGATACTGAAATACAGAATGTTCTGCGAATGGCGAATGTCAAGGACTTGAAAAGTGCTTTAGGGTATGCAATGAAATTTGAGGCAGCCCAGCAAGCTACTCTTAGAGACTGCCACCCAATCAGAGTTGCTCTAGTCCAAAAGCCAGAGAATCAAATGGCTGCTCGTCTAGATGATGTAACCAGATAATTGAATGCTTCGAGACGGAATATTGGTGACAAGAAACCGATCGTAAAATGTTGGAACTGTGGAGCTGAAGGACACATACGAAGAAACTGCAGAACGTACCACGTACAACGTACCCCAGGGTACGGATGTTAAGACTATACCCAGCAAGAAAGAGGGAAACTAATTAATGGCCATTTTGCAGGGCAGAGGTTGCCAGATAATGAAAAGCGCCAGTCTAAAGCATTTCAGATTTCTGTAGTGAGTGGCAGCAGTAATGGACTTTTTATAAGGGACATATCAATGGAGTTCCTTGTAATATAACCATTGACACAGGAGCCAATGTTACCATCATTCGAAAAGAATTGGCTCAACAACTAAAAGGTAATCTCATCTGGACGCTGCCCTGCGTTTCCCTCCCGACCATGTCCGGGGATAAAATCAACATTGATGGAAAATTAAACGTTACCATCACATTTGGAGGTGCCACCTACCACAATATGGCATACGTAGCAGAGATTACAGATCCTTGCATACTCGGATTGGACTTTCTAAGGAAATATAATTTTTCCTTAGACTTTAAAAATAACGAATTGCATTCTGCATCTGAAGACGTAGCCCGATTCGGAATAAATGATTAAGGAGTGAAATCTATCCACAAAATTTTAGCTTAAAACGATATCACAATACTCGCAAGAATCGAATTTTTACTTCCTGGATCCATAGCCGAAAATGGAAATTTCTGCTACGGCATCATAGAATATCCCAAGAACTGTAATAGCCCGAAAGGAGTACTAGTAGCCTCAATACTCGTCGACCTATCGAGAACGCTTATCCCGGTGAGAGTTGCCAATGTAAATGAGAAGGTGAGAGTTATTAAGAAAGGTGAAGTGGTTGCAGCATGTACTCCAGTAACCAGCATTGAAAGAAAGAGTAACATCCCAGAATCCGTGTCCTCAGAGAACATTACATCGGAGTTATTTCAGAAATCGCAATTAAACGATGAAGAGAGGAATGCTGCCGATCGAATCATTAAAGATCTTCAAGTTGTTTTCTCCCGCTTGTCTTCTGACGTGGGTTGAACCAGTTTAACACAACATAGAATCGATATCGGCGATCATCCCCCGATCAATCAACATCCGAGACGTCTACCGTTTGCTAAACAGGAAGAGGTACGAACACTTTTAAAGGATATGGAAGAAGGTGATGTCATCGAGCCTTCAGCGTGTCCATGGGCATCTCCATCGTCTTCGTTAGAAAGAAAGACGGCTCAACAAGATTTTGCGCTGACTATCGCGGGTTGAATGAGGTTGCGAAGAAAGACAGTTATCCTCTTCCTAGAATTGACGACATTCTGGACACTCTTTCTCGAAGCAAGTGGTTCCCAACACTTGATTTAAAAAATGGATATTGGCAGGTAGAAATACATCCTGATGACTCAGAAAAGACAGCATTTACTATGGGACAAGGATTTTGGTAGTTCAAGGTGATGCCTTTCAGACTGTTTAATGCGCTGGCAGTATTCGAACGCCTCATCGAGACTGTTTTGAAGCGCTTTTCCAACGAAGCCTGTCTGATATATCTGGGTGACATCATCATCTTCGGGAAGAGTTTTGAAGAACATCTAGAAAAATCTTAGGAAGGTGCTGCAGAAACTGAAAGAAGCCAATCTAAAGTTGAATCCCGCTAAATGCAAATTATTCCGACAGGAAGTGACTTACCTCGGACATGTCATCTCTGCAGAAGGTGTGTGCACGGATCCTGAAAAGGTGTCAGCCGTTAAATCCTGGAAACGTCCTGAAAATTTCCATCAGCTGAGAAGCTTCCTAGGGCTTTGCTCCTAATATAGGAGATTTTGTGTAGGATTCTTCTTCCATCCCAAGATCCCTTCACAAGTTGACAGAAGCAAGCAAAAGTTCTTGTGGACAAAAGAATGCGAAGATGCATTTAACAACTTAAAGAAAGCTTTAACATCTGCTCCAATCCTGATGTATCCTCAGCTCAACAGACCATTTATTCTCTAAATGGACATGAGCAATGAAAGTGTGGGTGCTATTTTGTCCCAAGAAATAGACGGCGAAGAACATGTAGTGGCTTACTGCAGCAAGTGCATGTCTAAGCCAGAGAGGAATTACTGTGCCACCAGGAAAGAGTTGCTCACCATAGTCAAAGCTGTAGAACATTTCCATCATTATCTATACAGCAGAAAATTCCTGCTCCGTACGCATAATACGTCATTGGCCTGGCTCTTAAATTTCAAGAACCCTGAGGGTCAAATAGCCAGGTGGATACAGAGACTTCAAGAATATGACATAACTATCCGTCATCAGAAGGGAATAACGCACAGAAACGCCAAAGCCCTGTCTAGACCTTGCCCAGAAAGCTGCCGATATTGTTTCAAGGGTTGAAGCAAAATATGAGCTGCCGAATCCGGTCGCAAGACAAATTACATCAACATCGGCTGATCCAGAACCGTGGAGTGACAAAGAAGCCATGAAAGACCAGCTGGAAGACGTCAAGACAAAATCCATATTTAATTTAATGGAGTCCTCAAGCAGAAAACCTACCTGGAAGGACATTTCGATCTATAGTATGACGACAAAACAATATTTTGGGACTCGCTTCACATTCGAAATGGTGTCTTGTACCGGAAATTCGAATCGGAGGATGAAAAGACATTCCGATGGCTCCCAAGATCCTAGATGCCCTTAAAGAATTACATAGCAGCCCTACAGGAGGTCACTTTGGAATAATGAAGACCTTGCAGAGAGTTCGTGAGTACTTTTACTGGAATAATGCAAAGGATGATGTGCAAAAGTTGTGCCGATCTTGTGATGCCCATGCAGGTCGGAAAGGACTGAAGAAACGCAGCCGAGGCAAGCTGCAACATTACAAAGTAGGAGAGCCTTTTGAACGTATCACCTTTGACATCTTGGGACCTCTGCCACGAGCTACTGATGGCAAAAAGTACATACTCGTTGTCATTGATTACTTCACCAAGTAGCCTGAAGCGTATCCTATTTCTGATCAAGAGGCTGTCACAGTAGCAGAGGTGATGATACAGCACTTGATTTCTAGGTTCGGAATGCCTCTTCAGTTACATTCTGATCAGGGAAGGAATTTTACCTCAGCAGTAATCAAAGAACTCTGCACTACTCGGCATTGATAAAACTCAAACAATGCCGAAAGATCCCCAGTCGGAAGGCGTGGTAGAGAGGTTCAATCGAACTATCTTTTAATAACCTGTCATTAGTGATTTCTGGAAATCAAGAGGGCTGGGACAAGAAGTTACCACTGTTTTTACTGGCTTACTGCATTGCTGTCCACGAGACTACCGGCTATTCCTCATCACAGATGCTCTTTGGTCGTAACCTTCATCTGCCTTGTGATGTCTTGTTTGTTCGCCCTACGAATGCACCTTCATCGCCTGAGGAATACATTCAAGATTTCCAGGTCCGGTTTGAAGTGATGCAGAAACTTGCACGAGAGTGAGTCACTTGGCGACAAAGAAGATGAAGACCCGATATGACACAAGAGCTACTGGACATCAATTCCACGAAGGAGACAAGGTGTGGTAGTGGAATCAGACTCGACGGAAAGGACTCTGTCCAAAATTACAATCACCTTGGGATGGTCCATACACAGTCCTAAACAGGCTGAATTACGTCGAGGTTTGGATCTGTAAGTAATTGAACTCTAAACCTAAAGTCGTTCATTACGACAGGTTAGCTCATTACTATGGCCATAGTACGTAGCGTAAATAGTGTTGGATTATGGTCCTTTTTGTTTCTAAATGTGCATTTGATTTGACTTGAACCTAGTATTTAATAGTATTTGAATTGTTTTAAGTTACTATTGCAATTATTCTTTATATTGTTTCTTATTGTAATGTAATGTTTTTATTGCATTTATGCCACAGTTGTAAGTTTGGCTTCCTGTCTAGGGATTGTACTGCCCGGGACATGCCGTCCTTGGGAAGGGGGCAGTGTTACGGTTTTTGTATTTAATTTGCCATTTTTAATAGAATTGTTATTAAAATTGTGTCTTTTCCCCATGCAATGCTGCACATGACAAAACTGAAGAGAAAAGCTAAGCCAGAAAAATTAAAATACAGGAGCACACGCATGTAATAAACATATCTCGTAATTGCACGCTTTTGCTTTTCGGGCAAAATCGAGAAAGTTCTCGTGCATTTTAAAAATCTTATAAAAGAGAGGAAAACCTTTCAATTTGTTGTAGTTGTTTATCGAGTTTTGTTTAGAAACTGCTGTTGACTGTAGCAAATTCGTATTGAAATCGGATTAGCTTTCTCTACGTTTCTCTGTTGTGAATTAACATTTTTAGTAGTTTAAAGGATAACTACAGTTTATTTATTGCTATAATAATAAATTTTATTCATTTTTCATTGGTCGTGTAGATTCAATTCATAATGAACCCGTACGCACGCAACAATATATTTACTGATTATGCTTTGAAGTATATTACAGTGCAATCTGCATAATCAAGCAAAATTGAATTATGACTTTAAAATTGGTGATGTGCATTTCATTCTTTTACATGTCATATGATATTTAAAAGTAAATTATACAGAGATACTATAACCAACTTCCAAACACATGTAATTCAAACTTTCATTCATTAATACAATAAATAAATAAAAACAAATTGGTGTTCAACAGCAATCCTTTCCCATTCTCACCAGGCTGACAGAGCAAGTTCAACAATTGTTAACAGCTGACATTAAGTTTAAAATAAATGTAGACTGAGGTAAAGTATTATTAGAAATTTAGTGTTTTTAAGTAACGCCTGGTATATTCTTGATTCCTAGAATGTTACAAATAAAAAATAATATGCAGAATCTGGATCTTAGAAAGAGCAATATTTACAAATTCAAAAACCTACAAAAGTTGAATTAAAAATTACAAAGCTTATTTATCTCAAACATTTTTTCAACACCAGAATATTTTACAGTATTAAAAAAAAATCTACTTACCCTAAAAATATGACCTAGACATGTTACTATTGCTAATACTAAAAACATCATAGACCAGAAAAATGCAGCTTCTTTAAACTCAGTTCCAGTAAGCGTGAAAGTCTAGAATACAGTAAGACTTACTATAAACTATTTCAAAACAAGATCTGTACTCATAAAAACTAAACAATGGAACAGAAGATTTGATCTCTGCATATTAAGTACTTTCAATGAATAAAAATCATTTACATCCAATTCAGTTTAATTAAATAAGATTTCATAAAGCAATAGTCTTCAAACTTTGCCAACTCAAGGGAGCGCCTAATTCCCCCCTTTTTTGTGTGTGCATATGTATGTGTGTGTGGAACTCTTACCATCTACTGGAAACAAAAGCATCAAAAATAAATTTATCAATGCTGTGGAAAGGAGCTTTATGCAGAAAATGAGCTTAAGGTGAAAGGATCTTAAGTTTTACTAACGTTTATTTTATTTTAAATCTTTACTATCACTTCTTATTTTCTACTTCCGGCCAGAATTAAAAGCTTTAACTTATTTATGCAAATTTGTCTGGCGAACGCCAAGTACTTAAGTTGTGGCTTTTTGCCAAGTGAGACAGAGGAAGGAGTTAGTCGAAGCAGGCCGCTTGCCTTAGCAGTTTTACTCGGTTGCTGGTTGCCTTCCAGGCCAGAGGTTCAATCCTCTTGATAATTTTAAACGTATTGTAGTGTTAACAGTTCTCTGTACTACATACGGCTTCCTGTTAATATACTGCCAATCTTCCACGTAGGCCCTTGTTTATTATTCCAAATTTAAGTTAGAGTTTAGTTAATGTTTTTATATTCTTACGTTCAGACCACAAGTAGTTGGTCTCTGTATTCCGAAGTACGGAAATTATTGTAAAGAGTGAAAAATAAAGGGTTTCGTATACCCTTCCTGTGTATCTTGTCTACTTCCCACATTTATTGAACATAGCTTTAGTAAGCTCCCTGTTCCGAGTCAGGTTCTTCAATGTTCCCCAAGCAAGCAAGGCGGAACACGGAACCTGATAAAGGAATAGGAAATATTAAACTAATAATTTGATTTGAATTTAAAAAGCATTCAACAGATCATACTTAAGCACATACACAAAAAAACTAACTGTTAATACTCACATTAAATATTTCACTGTAGAAAACTGCAAACGTAGGCATAACAATGCCAACAACAACAGATGCCAGTGATCCAATAACAATCTCCTTCCATTCATTCTTACTTCTTTTAAGAATATCTAGACCTGATGGCAGTTTAACATTTTCCTGTAAAAGGAAAAAATAATAATTTCTAAAAAAGAAAGCTGTAATTAATTTGAAATGCACTTCACAAATGCAGAAAATAATCAAGTTTATAATCCCAGCAGTTAAAATTCTTGAATCTACGGATATTTCGTTCTTCAAGTATGTAATAATATTTGAATGGCATATCTAAAATAAACAAATGCTTAACATATCTAGTTTCTACTTAAAATTTACTTTTAAAAGGCCTGATTTAGTAAGACTATATTTTATGTTCCTTCTGTCTAAAATTTCTTAAAGAGTTTTCTTTGAAAATTATCCGAAGAAGTTTTAGTTACATACAGATACACGTGTGATGGGCAATCTTTTCAAAAGTTTTACAAGTATATAAAGTCAGAACAGCTACTTTTAACTAAAATGCTAGTTATTAAAATACACAAGCATGCTATCAACCTTTTTAATCAGATGATTACGATCAATGATTTAAACAATGATTTTAATTAGCAGTTTTTTTTAAATCATTGATTAAAGTCAGTTATTCTATCATTTTTTAAGAGATGGGAAATACATCAAAATCAAAAATTAAGAAAATCAAATAATCTGTAATGCTTTTAAAGAGGTTTTAATTACTAAATAACAAGGAGGAAAAGTTTTTTAAGGAATTAAAATTGTTTAAAATATTCCAACTAAGCCATGTGAGTACAATGCAAGAAAGTATGTCACTTTCATGTCTGTACTCTTGTTCATAAATCTGGCGATATCTGTAGTAATTCCAAAGACATGGTGCATGATTGAAAAAAAATTCATTGTAATAACAGCATCTCAAAAATCTAAGATCATCAAGTTAGTTAAAAAAATTATGCTACAAATTCATCATTTTTATAACATAAAAAAGCCCTTTTATAAAATTAATGGAGATGCTGCATCCTGGATATGAGCCTCCATCTAAACTAGATTTAAGTGGTAGATAATTAAATGATACATATGAATAATGAATAGAGAAATGTAATACAGTTAATCAAACATGCTATATAGTTGATGCTACACAGTTATATATCGACAATCAGTATATAATATGTGTATGTGCTTATACAATATCGACAGTCAGTATATAATATGTGTATGTGCTTATACAATATCGACAGTCAGTATATAATATGTGTATGTGCTTGTACAGTAGATGGAACTCTACATTTAGTGAAAACTATTAACATAATATTAACACTATATATACACATGAAAATTTACTTGTTTTTACTGTTGATGCTATTAAATGAGATGGAAATAAATGCAAATGTAAAATTTCCAAATTTGTAGCAAAAAATGCAACTATATCAGATACAAGATTTTTAGCACATTTAATTCATGTATTGTGCAAAGATTAATATACATCAAATGCTATAAGAATGTTCTTAAAGTCATAAAATATTTGTGAAATCTTACCCAAGCCAAATGTAATGAATATAATGGAACTGGTTTAAATACACTAATCTGAAGTATGCTAGAACTCGGCATGTGACTTCTTTGAAAGCTATATAAAGCACTGGTCAGTTTCTATGCAAATTGTAAAAAAAGAATCAAGATGCAATGGGCAAGAATATTGAATAAAAAGATATTAGTATGACAGTCAGCCAAAATGTAGATGATCTCTTACTTCGTTTTTCAGTTGCTTTATACTATTTCGGTTACAGCAAAGCACAAAAGAGCTATCTGCCTAAAGGCTGCCTTCATGGGGACTTTCTAAGATTGTTTCATATACATGCTATGCATGAGAAACACCATGAAGCTAGCTCATTTACTAAGATTTGAACCTAAACCGATATTATTGAAATGTTAAGGATAGTAAGTGCTTAGTCAGTAGAGATTCAAAGAATGTATTCTTTTGGAACTGTAAATAATAAACTGAGAAATATGTTAGGAGTTGAAAAGGCAACAAAACTTTTTATTTTGTTTTGAGTACTGAAAATGGAAATAATACAGATAAAATGTGTTAGAACTGTTTAAAAAAGTTGTAAATTGTAGATATAAGTGTCATTCCGTCATTCCTATAATTATGTTTACTCTGATTGTTTATTTGCATTTACAGAATATATATGTATATATATATATATATATATACAAATATTATATATATATAAAAAACAAAACAACTTGTCATTATATATATATATATTAAATGACAAGTTGTTTTGTTTTTTCAGCCCAAATTTGCATGTAATTTCATATTTGTTATTTTCCAAGTTACTAATGCCAAAAAGCTGCTAAGACATTTAATCACAATCTCGGTTAAAAACTTAATAAACTACATAAATTTCTATTATCTGATCCCTAGTTTATGTGTTCAAATATGTACTGTGTTTCTTAATATCATCTAATTAGAAGTTTTCTTAATATCGTCTAATTAGAAATTTAATTACTTAAAACTTTGATACATGGTAACCATTTAATAAGTAAATCTAGAAAAATAAAAAATGATTTAAAAAATAAATTGCTTTAAAAATAATGATATTTTGTATCTTACTCAGAAGTAAAATTACATAACTTATACAACACATTTTCTTTATTTATTTCTTTATAAATCTGATGGGTAGAAAATAAAGACAGTAATCATTTAAAACCATTCTCAAGAAAAGAAGCAATGCTGTAAGAAAACCTTTTAGCTTTTATTTAAGAATACAAAGTGCAGCATAACTTCTCTTATTTCTTTAATTGCTAAAATTAGGAACTTATATATTCTTAAAGGAAATGTTGTAAAATATAAAGTTCAAGACTGGCCTGTTATAAGAAAAAATATATGAGCGTTATTTGTTAGGTTAGTTGAATATGGCAAAGCCTTTACGGCTATCTGCCTAAGAGAAGGGATTGCTTTTGCGGAGGACCTTTTCACATTCGCCTTACACAAGAAGGAAAATCACAAAAACCAGCCATGCAACCAGCTGTTTAACATGGGATTGAACCCAAACTATGTCGAACTACCAGTATTCAGTGATCTTAACCTTTTAGCAACTGGTAAGCATCATTTGTAATCATTATCCAATTATAAAAATGAGGAAAGAAAGTTATATTTTACTTCCTGGACTTCACTCTCAAGCCGACTGAGCAACCTATGACTTTCATGAATTGCAGATCTTATGGATGACCTCTTCCTGATTCTTAGTTCTTCAAGATTTTCTAAATCCTTGGAATCATCTGAAATCAAATATAAGTGACAAATTTTGTTTCATTTATTTCTACCTTTGGCATTATATGTTTTTCTTATTTCATAAAAAATAATAATTGTCAGGTTGAATACCATCTACAGTGGAACCTCGAGATATGAGTTTAATTCATTTCTGCATTGAGCTCGTATAGTTAATTTCTTGTATCTAGAAACAAACTTCTCCATTGAAAATAATGGAAATCCAGTTAATCCATTCCGCACCCATAAAAATATCAACATAAAAATCACTTTTTCTGATAAATAATAATATAACCGTAGTTTACCTTTATGACAGCTTCAGACAAATGATAGCTCCCAACACTGACCTTTTAATTGCTTCTCGTTAATCCACACCAACAACAGCTTCTCAACATGTTCTAGGAGTTTTGGATGGTGCTTGGAAGTAACGATAACTCCTTTGGCTACATCAAGTTTCTTAATTTCTTCCTGCTTCTTCAGAATAGTGCAAATCGTCAATGTCGAAAGGCGATAATTCTTCGTCAATTCATGCTTTATTTATCTATGACTTCTTTCTTAATTTCAACGGCCACGGCTTCCTTGGTTTTCTTTGCAGCAATATCTGAGGCAACGATTTTATTGGGTGGCATCGAGAAATAATTATTTTCACTTTAATTGTAATAAACAATTGACACACAAGACCACAAACACGTAGATCAAAGAACACTGAGTGATCTGATGAGGGGATTCCCCGAGTTCAGCCAGGTCGGGAAATGGCGCCATGCATAACAATAACCTGGCTCATTGCTCTTATTTAGAGACAAATTTTCTTTCATACTTTCCTCGTATCTCGTATATAGAGGTGCTCGTATCTCGAGGTTCCACTGTACTTCAAAATGAAGAATTGAAAATTCAAAGTGAAGATACAAACTAATATCTTGCCTTCAAAATGTACAGAAAATTGAATTCTAACAAAGTGTAAATGAAATTATTAGCTGTAGAAAAAAAACAAATTGAAAGGCATTTAAAATATTTTGTTCTTGTGATAAATATTCATGTGAAATTTCTTACAGATTACTTAACCTTTTTAAAACTTAAAATTTACAAAGGAAAGTGGAAGTATTTCTCCTATTTTTTTTAACTCAAAATACTTTTAATGAGGTATTATACAAGTGTTGTAACAAATAAAAACCAATGAACACAGGTCTTGCTATCAATGTGGAATAGCGAAGCTCACTAAAATATGGAACATGATCATTGAACAATATATTGTTGACAGATTTTTGTTCTTTCTGTAAATAGGTTACTTTTGAGAAAAGCAGAAAAAATGTCATGATTTTTCCCAACCCCTCCCTCCCATAATAGACTATCTAATTGCCATATAACAATCAATTTTATAATACAGAAATAAATTGCAAAAGGGTTAAAAAATTGTATTTATAAGAAAGGCAGTGAATTTTATTAGTATGAGAACTCCATCATGGATATTAGTGAATTACACTTTTAGAACTGCAGTGGATGATTATTGTAAACTATACTAGAAATAAAATTTTTAAAGAATAATAAAATTACTCATGAAAAAAATTGAAAATTCCCTTAGAAAATTGTGCATAAACAAACAAGAGCCAAGCATGAAGAGTATATAGATACGATGAAGAATTTGAAAATCAGAAATACCTAGATAATTAACATGGCATAATACACATTAGCTTTCTAACACAAAAATCTGAAATTTCCATCATAACTTTAATGCAACGAAAATAAAATAAGAGGGTCTTTTTCTTAAAATACTAGCTTCTTTGTATAATGCTAATAGTAATATTTGCTCGTGCCTTATGTAAATTTTGATTTTGTTCTCTGCAAGAGGCCAAGACAAGAGTTGCACCACTGAAAATCATATCTTTTCCCCAATTGGAACTTTGTGGAGCATTCCTGTTGACTAAATTGATGGATTTTCACCTGTAGAGCTTTGAATACTCCTATATCACAAGCTTATTTTCATACTGATTGCACTATTGTATTAACCTGGATAGGATCTCATGCAAGGCGATGGAAGACCTTCATCGCCAACAGAGTAGTAAAAATCCAGACTTTATCTTCTCCTGTCCAGTGGCATCATGCGAATGGAAATACTAATCCTGCTGATCTTTCAACTCGTAGCGTGTCATCATCAGCACTGGTCACTTCATTGTGGCTACATGGTCCAGATTTATTGTATGATTTATTTCCCTTTTAGCCAGCAATATCTGCACCAGTGCTGAATGATTCTGTGCCCGAGAAAAGATGGGCTTTACCGTCAACAACTGCTACCAGTCACTTAACAGACGCTCATGATTTATTTTACAAATATTCTTCTCTCACCAAACTTAACACTAGAATTACAGTGGTCTTCCTATACATAGAATTAAGGCGGATGTCATTTTGATCCCTTGATAAGATATCTGCATATTTCTCTATATGATATAATATATTTGTGAAAAAGAAATTAAAATAACACAAATTATGACAACAACAGTTTATTTTAAAGAATATAGAGACTTTGCAGGTATGCAGTCAAATAATGAACAAGCATTTAAATATTTCCATCGGAAAATGTAACTTTTTTTTTTTTTTTTTTCATTTTTGATAGCTTAAATTTCAGAAACACAGAAAATAAAATGTATAAATATTTACGCAAATTTTTTTTAAAAAAGTCGTTTTTAATTCAAATATTAAAGTATTTTAAAACAAACTTTTTGCTATAAAGAGTACATAGAAATATATAAAAATATTTTATTTACAGATAATATATTAGTCAGCGCAGCAATTAGCACATTGTGTACAATATACGCATACATATTTATTAGAGTTGTCAAAAATATTAGAAGTTTTGTTATATTTGCATTTTCTTACTTGTCATTTCTTCCTTTTCTTTTCTTTTTTTTTTTTTTTTTTGATTCTATTGAATCTTGTCCATCCAGAAAGCCACTTGAAGAGAGAACAAATTTCTTTTTACTAGATATATATTCTTCTCTTAGTTCTTCTGCCAACCCCAATAGAAAATCGCTACTGCTGATATTTTCTTTTGTAATTTCCTTATACAGAATCCACGCATTTATACCTGCTAAGTCCAAAATATTGTAGAATACATGTACTGGCCAACGGCGTGATGGTGCTTTCACGGTGTACTTTCTTGCCATTTGATCCAAAACATCTACTCCGAATTTATTAGAATTGTAAAATTGTATTACATCAGGAACTTTCTTTTCATTAGATTCAAATTCAACTGATGAAGGGAGTGTATTTAACAAAATTACGTTTTTGTTCCTTTTATCTTGATATGATGTAAGTGTTTTATAGTCGTGTTTCATCACAACTGAAGAAAAATGTTTGTTTCTTACATTTTTGAAACTAGAGGGAACTTCTCTTTTTGCACGATTTACTATTCCAATATGACGCAATGCTTTTGATTTTAGGGATTTCGCAAGTTTTACTGATGTAAAGAAACTGTCTGTAGTTATATTTCGGCCAGTATTTTTGTAAGGATCAACTAAATGATTTACTCATTCTCCTCTAAACTTTGATCACTTGGTCTCATTTAATCTTTTCCTAAAGATGGAAATCCGTTTAATAAGTATTTCGTCCTGACGTCTACTGCTAGCCAAAATTTTATTCCGAATTTATCGGGCTTGCTAAGCATATACTGTAAAAAACGGCATCTTGTTTTTATAGGGAATAACTGTTCATCAATCGTAATGTTTTCATTTGGTTTGTAGCAAAGCTTATAGTTTTATATAAAAGTATTCCATACCTCGGATATTAGAGCAAATTTATCACAATGCAAACGTGAAGACCTTGTTAGTTTATTATCAAAACGAAGAAATTTCATAATTTCCAGAAACCTATCTCTACTCATAGTTTCATGAAAAAACTTTGGTCCCCAAGTCTTGGAGCACAAACTAAAAATTGGTAAGCCCTTGGCGGCTAACGCCTCCCTTACGTACAACAACGCTATGAATGCTTCCAGTTCTGCTAATAAAATAGTGAAAGAGTCATTATGAAGTTTACGCTTGGCTTCAGCATCAGTACACTCCTTTATGACGCTTAAAATATTTTCATTTATTATTAACTTCCAAGCACTAAGAGCTTTACCAGAACAAATGTGACGTTTAGCATAGGATGTCGGTCCTGCATTTTCTCGCAATATATTTTGCAAGGGTCACCGACCAGAAGTATTTGATGTATTTTCTACTTTCCATACAGTTCCATCAGTAGCAATCTCTTTACAAGTGTTAGTCTGAATTACGTTGAATTTCATATTCCCTTTTGAGCGCCTACTAGTTCCTGCTTTGGCATTCTTAGGTACGGCAGAATTTGAACTCGTAGAAACAAATGCATTTGTACTTTCACTTGAGCTAGAGGATAATATTGCCTGATTACTCTCCATAGTAAATTCAGAATCACAAGATGTTTCATCTCCATCTTTATCTGTAGAATTATTTTCGATTTCAGAACCGGAATCGGCATCAGATAATTCTTGCATTAGTTTTACGATTTCTTCACGCGTTAGTCCCTTTCTATGTGCCATTAGTATGTCACTATAATAAATTCATGTAAATAGAATAAAATGTGCCACTAAAACGTGTTATGAATAATAAACAATATATCTACGAAAAATCTACAAATGTTCAGCTAGTAATAATCTCTTTTCTCTGTTTTTTCCCCACAAAGAAAAGTATTGCACATATTTCAAATCATGTGACTGGCAGATGTGAAACTACGCAGACACTCCATATTCTTTTCTTTTGTTTGTATTTTGTTTAGCAGGTGCAAATAAAAATAGTTTACAGAAGTAACAGTGTTCAGATAATACAATGGAGTGTATTCACAATTCTTTTTTTCAAAGGGGTCAAAATGACATCTGCCGTAATTTTAGGTATAAGCATTTGTTAAGGCTAAAATAAATATACGATTTTCTTGAAATCTTTACTATTTCGTAAATTACAATGATTTAGGAAAAGTCGAGAAAAGATTAAGACATTTGCGAAAAAAA